TAGTTGACTTTTTACCCGATATAGTTGATTTTAAATCATCTAAGCCAGTGACTGAGCAAACTTGTGATGTAGGACTTGAAACTTGACATGAACCTTATTGAGGACCTATGATGAACCATGGAAATCATTTGAGACATTTTCAACCCATATTTCTTTGATAAACTCAAAACCCTAGTTGTAGACCTTTGGCTTAGGAGGAGCATTTGATTGGTCATCCTTTGAGATTCTTGAGTATTTGAGGAGCCTTGAAAGAATGTCTTGAGAAAAATGGGAGGACAAATTTTGGGGTACAACACCGTTTTATTTTGTCTTCTTCATAATATTCCATATGAAGTTATACCTTTGGTGTGCTACCATTCCATGAATAAAATCTCTATTGCTTATCAAAAGCTTTTTCATTTGTGCTCTTTTGTTTTCTCTTTCTTTCGCAAAAGGTTATTTATTTTTTATGATAAAACTTTGAAACCAATGGATAATAAAAAGTATTTAAAAACACAAACACTTTGATATTTGAAATTATTAAAGGAAAATTGATGGTTTTCAACTTCGCATTCAAATCAAAATCATAAAACATTATATGATCACCGCAAAGAAATCTCCATGGGGTATACCCATTAATTTCCAAATGGGTCATCAGATAATGTGCCGCTAGCAGGCTTAAACATGAGAGATCCATCTAAGTCATCTATCCAAAGCATGAATTGGAAATATTCCCAGTGCCGGGGAATCAAGTTTCCCAATATCTCGTCAAAACCCAACTTCACTTGGAACCTCACAAAAATCCCAACCTTGTTGGCATCTTACCAAAAACCCAGTCTCATTTGGCATTTACCCCGGAGCCCAATCTTCATTGGCACACTCGGAAATCAACACATTGCAAACATCAATGATTCATCACTTCATGCATTTCTCTCACACACACAATGCATACACAATTGTCATACTTCATAAAAACAAATCCCATTCAATTATCATGCCTAGCACAAGTCATGTATGGCACTCACCCTCAATCTCGAAGACCAACCATCATCAACACAATATAATTTAAATCCATCAAAGTCCAACCTTGTTTGATACCTTCATGCCTAGTGAGTGACATTGGCACTTCAAAGTCCAACCTTGTTCGGCACCTCAATGCCCAGCGACATTGGTATCTCAAAACCAAATTTTCATTGGCATCTCAGAGCCAAATTTTCATTGGCATCTCAAAGCCCAATTTTCACTGGCACTTCAAAGCTCAACATCGCGTGGTAACCATAAAGACCAGTACTCATCTAGAAAAATTCAAAACCCTCACCATTTAAATCTGATAGACTTTCAGATCTCATTTTCTTTGTTCTAATGGACTTTCAGAACTCACCCTTTGAATTCGATGGACTTTTAGATCTCATTTGCTTCGTTCTAATGGACTTCGGGAACCCACCCTTTGAATTCGATGGATTTTAGGATCCCATTTTTTTCATTCCGGTGGATTTATGGAACTCGCCCTTTGAATCTGATGGATTTCCATATCTCATTTGTTTCGTTTGCATGGATTTCCAAAACTCGCCCTTTGAATTCGAAATATTTCCGAATCTCATTTGTTTCGTTCCGAGGCACTTCCGAAACTCGCCCTTTTTTAGGCGTCCCCATGGAATGTTCTCTCTAATAGGTTTCTCTTGAAAATATTCCCCAGTGGACCTTCTTCATAAATTATCTCAGTTAATCCCTAGTGAGTCTCCCTTGTCACTTTCATTCCCCAATAAAGGCATTTAGCCAAGACTCATGTAATTCCATTTCCTTTCCATTCGAAGGACAAACTTTAGGTCTTTTATATTTAATTATCTTTCACCACAATTATATGAAAACTACATCATTCATATTGTCGTGGCTGGAATAAATCAATGAAGTCGCCACCATTATTTATTTGTTCTAAGGACAGGAAAGATATACGGGAAAACCCTAAAGGTACAGATAAGACAGTCGTTGTGACCAAGTTAAGAGTTCGAGAGTCAATTAAGCGAGGGAAGGTGTTAGGCACCCCTCACCTTCCTTGTACTCAAGGAGAGCCTTCTCTAATATTAGGGTTTCTAGGTGTGTTGCTTACTTTATTTCTAATATACTTAATTTATCTAATTATTTACGAGGGGAAAAATATCTACAAAAGGTTAAAACGGGAAAAGATTAAAAATTGACTCGCCTTGGTCTCGCAACCATGAGCCTGCGTATCTCTCATCAAGATATAAGAGAAATCAGAGTCCTACGTAATTCGAGATTGTTTGGTTGGTGTTTTTTTAGTGTTGTGAAAAATGTTTGAACTTGATTAGAATTAAATCGTGTGGGGCAAAGAAATTGATTTGATTTATCATACAGAGACGGAAAAAAAGATTGATGAGTTGCATGGATTTTAGTGTCTTGATTTGAATAATTAATTAGTAAGGCGTTAAGCCGACTTATTAATTACTCGAGGATGTGGTGGATGTGGATCCACATATCCTATTATTTGCAAAAATATTAGAATTAATTCAATTAAAAAATATTTAGCTTCTTTTGAGTATTTGTTAAATTTGATGATCAATTGATAAGGCGTTAAGTCAACCACTTAATTATTCGAGGATGTTGTGGATGTGTATCCACTTATCCTATTATTTTTTTAAAAATTATTTAATTAAATAATAAAATTATTTAATTGATTGAAGTGTTTATATTTATGTACAGGTTTATTTACAAGTGTCAAGGTTAATTTAATCTGGGAATAACCTAAAAAGTATGTACAATGCTTATTGAACTTATTTACATATGTTATTTAATCGAGAGAGAGAATTAGAGTTATGTACAAGCTTGGTCAACCTAATAAAACTACCTAAACTATAATTTTGTGTTTCCATATTTTATTAATGATAAAGCTAACCTAAAGTCTTAAGTAAAAAATATAACCTAATTAGAAAATAAATCTACATGAATTAGATCAAATTATATATAAAAAAACCTAAGGATGTAGAAATGAATTGAGATGGTGTATTAAGAAATGGGAGAAGGCTTATGGCCCAGAATTAACACTAAACCCTAATAAAATTAGAAATAGAAAAGTAAAAAAACACTAGCATAGCATATGGGAAAATTTTATCTTATACCTCCTATAATTATATCAACGTCTCTACACGAAAAAATTTTGAACTGGAAAACCTTTATATAAATAGTTCATATTTTGAAATTTTTACTTTTTCTTTACATTTTATAAAAAATTTCAGAACACCAAAAAATATATAAATCATAACACATTTTCAAACTAATCTGATTTATAAAAATACATACTGAAACACTTTTTTTAAAAATGTTTCGGTAAAGAAATTCATACCGAAACACTCTTTAGAAATGTTTCAGTTGAATATTTTTCAAAAAAAATTTAAAAAGTCATATCGAAACAGTTTTTAAAAGTGTTTCGATTGAATATATTTAATAGTGTTCTTAAGAAATTTTTCTTTTATTAATTTAGTTTCAGAAACAGGTTAAAACCGTGGCCTAAGATAAATAGAGAACGCTCTTAAACCGTGTTATGACTTGTTTTGCAATTTTTAAACCAGGACAATTTTATAGTGTTTTGGTGTCTTAATAACACGCAATCAGAATACTTACAAATAAGTGTTCTTGTACGATATTTAAAGAAAAACAATTTTGTTATTTTAGGTCACGGTTTTAAATCGTTACTGAAACTTCTTTAACAATTTTTTTAAATCAGAACATTTTCAAAAAGTGTTCTAATATCTTAATAATTCATCAATTTGGAACACTTTCAATAAGTGTTCCCATATTGATAATAATTTATAAAAAGACAATTTTTTTACTTTAGTGCCAAAAATCATTTAGCAATTTTTTTTACCTGAAAACTTTCTTTAAGTATTCCAAAACAGAAGCATAGGATGCAAAATTCATATTTTGTGAATAATAAAAAAAAATTCGTTAAAAAAATTGAAAGGTAAAGCTGACATTTTTGAAAAATCCTAGAAGTACAAAACAAATTATAAGAATACGAAGTAAATTTTTTAGCAGATGGATGCGACGCCCCTTTATTGCATCTTTATTTCAATTTTTTAACCTCCTAACGGCCCAATTCCGTGTTGGCACGTGGCCATGAATAAAATAAAAAAACAATTGAAAAAGTGATAAGACCAGAAAGAAAAATATGTGAAAAATAACAATCGCAACTCTTAGAGTATCTTCAACGGTAGTTTTTCAACAGGGTTTGTCATAGTGGAGCAACAAAATAGGTAGTTCTTTCACGGTTGAATGGTTTGAGTTTGCCAACATTATAATATTGTTGCTTCTGCATGCAACGATGCTTCACTGACACCAATATAAATAAATGATAATGACTCTTATTGAATCAAATAAACATAATATTTTTACCATATTTTATTTATTTTAAAAATTCTTTTACTTATTAATTATACTATTAGTTAATATTACATTTAATTCACTTTTCACAATTATATTAAATTAAAAATATTTTAAATTTCTCCATTATAATTTTATCTTTTTATTTTTAATTTCTATTTATAATTTCATCTTTAAAAAAAATTACATTTAAATTTCTCTATTACAATTCTAAGATCTTTTTAAATTTTATGTTTAATTTTAATTTTATTTATTTTATATTAATTTTAATTTAAATAATTTAAATTATTATTTTAGATAAAATAAAATTTTAATGAATAAAATATTATATATAAAATAAAGATGTGAGACTTAATATGAGTTGTTTAGAATTGCACTATTGGACTGAAAATGAGTGAGTTGCCTTAAGATGATGTGGTTTAATGGATCCCACAAGAAACTCAAAAATGAATTGCACCATTGGAGATGATGTAATGTCTATGACTCGCTTCTTTCACTTTCCAAGTAGATATTCCATTCTTTCTCCAACAATCTACAAAGTAAAAATCACCAAAAAAAACAACTATATTAGATTTGAAGAAAGAACCAACCTAGCTTCGTAATATCTGACGACAACGGGCGGACGAATGGCGGCTACAGAGCTGATCATAGACGGTGGACGGTGGCTGTCGGCTTCGGCGCAGTCGAGGGCCTGCGATTCCGGTATGGAGGGCGTTGTCGGCAATGGGTGGCAAAATCTGACTGGTAGCGGTGGATTACAGCGTTCCTCGAAGGAGTGGTTGCGCGTTTACGCTCTCGGCGGCAGTTTGCGGCGGAAACCGGCGATTCTTTGTGGTGGTGATGCATCGGAGTCGTCTGTGTGGTGCTGCTCCGATTCATTTCACATCTTCTTTCTTTGATTTGAAAGTGCTATATTTTTCCGGTTAAACCTTGATTGTTGTATGTTGTTGTGTTGTAACTTTGTTTGTCTTGTAATGTGTATGAGATGGAAGAAGGTTAAAGATGATTGTTGTGTATTGGCCTGTGTTTGAATTTGCAGGTGATGAGAACTTATTTGAATGGTTGATGGTTTGAAGTAGGATGAGGATTTGTGAGAAGTTTTATGGATTGTTGTGGAATGGAAATATGGTTTATGGTGATAACAAAGACAAATTGTTGTTATTGAAAACTCAGTTTTACAAGACTGTTCTGGACTGGTTAACGGTGTTGTATACAAGTTAAAAGCTTAGAAATTTACAGGTTGTTACAGGAATGTTTTGGTTAATGTTTATATTGTGATTTTGTTTGGTTATTAGATTGTAAAATAGTTCGAGAAAAAAGTGAGGTAAATATGGTTAAATTGAAAGGTGGTATTTGTTAGTGATGAGGGTTTTGCTAGGTACAGGAATGAGTGTATTTGTATTTTTCTAAAAGCCAAGGCAAAATTTATTACTAAAAATAGACTTGAGTGATAACTCTCAGACATAATGTGTATTTGACTCAGAATGAACATGTTTAATAGAGTATTAGTGTATTTTCTTGTGTTATGTATTAGAGTATTAGTTTATTAGAATGGACATGTTTTGTAGTTTGCTTATTTAGAGTCCTTCTTGAAGAAACAAAGTCAAAAACTTAAGAAATCAAGTTTTTTTTAGTGAAAATGTGCATATGGCATTCAACATGGCAACCGTCGTAGAAGGCGCCATGACATGTCTGCTTGCAACCAGAAGAAAACCGCCACGATCCCACGATCTTCCATATGAGTTCAGATGGCGGGTGCCATGGCAGGGATGGCGGGCGCCATCTTTGTTATTTTTGTCCCGCGCAAAAGGAGTTGGGGGGTATGTTTGTATTTTCAAGGATTTTGTTTTCTCTATAAATAGGCATTCCTAGTTTCATTTCAAAGCATACAACTTAGTTTACAACACTAAGCATAAACTCACCATTTGTAAAAGCGATAATTCGTCACATTGGGGGATTATCGCACCGTAATTGTGATTAAGTTGGAGCACTTCTACACTAATCTTGGCGTCATTTTCTTTACAAGTCAAAGTTTATTTTCCAGTTGTATCAGATTTAAAGTCTCTGATTTGGAGTAGGTTTTATTCAGTTTTCGCATTACCTTTATTTACTCCGCATTTGCTTTATTTCGTTTATTTTCTTGAACTTGCCTTACTTTATTTACTTTCCTGTTTTGTCCTTGTCTACTTGTTTATTACCTTGCATACTTTACTCGCCTTTTAAGTTTTATAATCTATTTTAACATGATCAATTTCATCATGTATGTTTCTTTTTTCATGTCTGGCTAAGTCTTTTAAGATTAGAATGTAAGGATCATCGGTATGATAATAATTTATATATTGTATATGTAGAAATACTTTAGGGGCTGTTTTGATTTTTAACACAAGTTTTCAGTACTAAATTTCATTGGGTAAGATCGAAAGTCGTCCAACTCCCAAAGTTAAACTTAGTTAGTTTTAACTCTCCAAAGAGGGAGAAAGCACTTTATCCAGATAAATAGAAGTTTTTAACACTATTAGAAAACAATTTTGAAATTATCTTCAGACGCGTTTATAGGTTTAAAATTTGGTTCCTCGAGCAAAAGCCATGGATCCCTTTTAAGTTAAACATTCCAAATCAGGATCATTTTTTTAACTAAGTCAAGAGTCCAATTTCTTAAAAATAGGTTTACTACTTTAACGCAAATACGCACCTTTTATAAGTGACAATAAAATGCATTAATTAGAGAGTAAACTCGGTTCTGGATACGCGAAAGCGACAATTCCCTTTAAATTGATTATTTTCAAAAGTAAAATTTTTTTCCCCCATAAATAGTTCTATTTTGAAACGATCGAAGTATTATCTAACTTATGTGAATTACATTTGAGCCTGTCTTTTTTATCTGAATTTACATACCTTTTACTGTGCACTCTCGAACATTGATTTGATCTGCCTTAGATAAACACCGTAACAATAGAAATTGATAGATTGACATTTGGTCTCTGTGGGAACGATAATCTTTTGCATTACTCTAATGTGATTTGTACATTTGTGAAAATACCACATCAAGTTTTTGGCGCCGTTGTCGGAGACCAACTTCGTCAAATTTCATAGCGTGTTGTTACACCGTCTAGACTAAGGTTTTGTTAGCTAGTAATGCAAAGAATTCATAGTACCAACAGTTTAGTAGATCCTATAGCAGAACCCGAATGTTACGTCCGAGCACGTCTCTTACTCCAGCGAATTAGGAGAACAATGGCCGAAGATCGTAACCGAAGACCCCCTAAGGAATTCTCCCAACCATCTGATTAGGAACCAAATTCTAGTATAGTGAACCCATCTATACCTGCTAATAATTTTGAATTGAAACCCTCTTTACTATAATTAGTACAACAAAATTAATTCACAAGCCTCGCTACACAGAACCCAAATCAGCATTTAAAAGTTTTTATCCAATTAGCCGACACCTTTAAAACCAACAGTGCTACACTTAAGGCGATTCGTTTAAGACTAATCTCTTTCTCCCTCAAAGATAAAGCGCGGTGTTGGTTATATTCCCTTCCATCCAACTCAATAATAATTTGGGAAGACCTCAGAAGAGTGTTCCTTGCTAGATATTTTCCCCTGAGTAAGACTGCAGTCCTTCGAAATCAGATCACCAAGTTTACTCTAATTCTAGGAGAATTACTTTTTGAAGCTTGAGAGAGATATAAAGAACTATTAAGAGCTTTCTCACACCATGGCCTAGAACAATGGTTGATCATTTATACCTTCTATAAAAGGCTCCATTATAACACTAAGATGACCATCGACGCTGCCGCCGGCAACGCACTAATGAACAAACCTTACCCTGAAGCCTACGTCTCATCGAAGATATGGCTCAAAACCATTACCAATGGGGAGCAGAGCGACGACCAATAGAGAAAAAGGAGACTCAAGGAGGAACTCATGAGATAAATTATATGGACATGATGCAAGCCAAAATGGACGCTTTAGCCCTAAAAGTCAAACACATGTCTACAAACCCTGCCACTGCAGTTGTAGTCCACCCAGAGTGTAAAATCTGTGGAACCAAAGAACATCAAGCAGCAGAGTGTAACTTATTAAATGAATCGAACACATACCAGGTCAATTATGCCCAAGGAAACCCATTTTTGAACACTTACAACCCTGGATGGAGGAATCACCCAAACTTCTTCTATAAAAACAATAACCCTATTCAAAATTCTACACCTCAAAGACAACAAGGTTTTCAAACTCAAAAATCAAACCAACCTATGCAAGTTGTTCCCCCAAAATAGAACCTTGAGAAAATCATGGAAAGTTTCATTTCGGCCCAAACTCAGCAAAATAAAGAATTCTTGAACCAGAACATTCATGTAAATGAATTAATCAATCACTTAGGAATTAAGGTTGACCAGATAATCACTCATAATAAAATACTTGAAACCCATATCTCACAGGTAGCTCAAACACAAGCCCCCCAGACTACACCTAGAAGACAATTTCCCGGACAACCTCAATCCAACTCTCGAGGGCAAGCTAACGCCATTATCTTACAAAGTGGAACCACTTACGATGAAACTGTTAACCCATCATCAAATGAATCTGAAGCTTCTAAGAAAAATTATGTGCCCACAGACCAACCAGAAGAATCAGCAGAACTAGAAAAACCAAGAAGTGAAAGCTAAAGATAAAACTTATACACCACCCCCCATATAAACCACCGATTCCATATCCATAAAGACTTAAAAAAACAAAAATTGAAAGTCAATATCAAAAATTCATAAAGATAATAGAGAAACTCCATGTAGAGATTCCTTTCACCGAAGCCATCACCCAGATTCCATCTTATGCAAAATTCTTCGAAGACATCCTGATCAATAAACGTAGGCTTGACGATCCCAAACCCTTAGAATGTAACTCTATTTCCGAAAATAAACTTGTTAAGAAGGAGAGAGACCCTGGAAGTTTTTCCATAACTTGTGTTTTAGGGAGTCATGTTATCGACAAAGCATTTTTAGACTTAGGTGCTAGCGTAAGCCTAATGCCTTTAGTAGTTTGTAAGAGGTTAAACTTAGGAGAATTGCAGCCGACTAAGATGTCTCTTCAATTAGCCGAAAGATCTGTTAAATATCCAATAGACATATTAGAGACATCCCAGTTAAAATCGAGCAACTGTACATCCCAACAGATTTTATGGTCATGGACATTAAAGAATACGACGAAATCCCAATCCTCCTAGGTAGACCATTGTTATCAACAGCAGGAGCCATAATAGATGTTAAGAGAGGAAAATTAACTTTTGAAGTAGGTGATGAAAAGATAGAATTTATTCTTTCAAAATTCCTAATGGCACCAGCCGTAGGAGATGCATGTTATGCTATCGACATCATTGATGAATGCATAAGGGAACTAGACAAAGAAGAACCTACAGAAACAATCAAATCATCTTCGACCCCCATAATGGAGGACAATGGATTTTAAAAAAATAGACCCTACATTGATGACAACCTCTATGAATGTTTAACCCTTACCCCAGATCCTATACCATGCCATAAGAGACCATCTCTAGAACTTAAAGAACTACCTAAGAATCTAAGATATGAGTTTTTAGATGAAGGAATGAATCTTCCGGTTATGTCAGTGCTACCTTAAACCAAGATGAAACAAATCAACTGTTAGATGTCTTACAAAAATATCTCTCAGCCTTAAGGTATAACATCTCTGATCTAAAAGGAATAAGTCCATCCGTATGTATGCATCGGATTTTATTAGAGGAAGATTCTAAATCCTCTAGAGAACATCAAAGAAGGATAAACCCTATAATGAATGATGTTGTTAAGAGAGAAGTGCTTAAGCTACTAGAGGCTGGTATAATTTATCAAATTTCAGATAGTAAGTCGGTAAGCCCTGTGCA